AATATCGGCCCATATAAATATCATGAAGTCTCAAACTACTAATTCAAGACAATAATATACAAATTGATTTAGAAACCAATGTAGGGCATAGAATATATACAAACACCTATAGATGGCAATGCCAGTACCCTGAGATCACATTTCAGCATGTTAGCTTTAAATAATTCCGAAAGCCTATCCCATAAACCCTCTGATGTATTTTCTTTTCTCTACATCCTCTTGGTTGCTAAGGCATTTCTTTCTCATGCTTTCTGAAAAATCACAAATCAGCTTATAAAATGCGACATCCTATGTTGACTTGTTTCTCATTGGATTGACTTTTAGCATACCTGAAAGCATTTTGTTGCTCACACATGTGTGCTGCTACAGTCCAATGCCCTCAAAAGAGCTTGAATCTGACCTGGTCATGTCTCCATTTCCCTTAAGGTGACAATTCAGGAATCAACTGCTCAGTGTCAAGTTTAGAATCTTATCTTTCTGCCTTTTTATTTTCCCCAGGAATTTAAAATAGATTAAAAACAATCTTTGACCTTCGCTATGTTCTTATGTAAAGCCATCTGCTATTGCATCTATCTTCACCATATCTCCTGTCACATAAGACATTTCCACCTAAGGCTTTCTACTCAAATCACTAGATTTAAGTGTCTCCCACTCAAATACAACTTGCCATGAAACGCTGGATTTTAAATCATTCTCTACTTAAAGTAACTTCCAGGAAAACTGCTGCACTACCAGCGTTAAGAATAGAAAATTCGTATTTATAGCCATTTCTTACAATATCAAATTATGCAAAAGTATATATGGATAGAAAAAAGTAGAGAACGCTCATGACGTTTGGATATTTATTTTATTTTTAATAGTTTCCTCGCTCTACTTCTAAACATTTCTCTTAATCTGTTTAACTCAAATTACCAAAAAATCTATGACTTTTATATTCTTTAATGAACTCAAGATTTCGTCTTTATTGGCCATTTACATGAAACGTTAAACTTTAAATAATTAAAATGTACTTGAAACAAAGTTAGTGTCTTCAAAGGAGTTACATGTACACGTGTAGTCTACCCACTTTCGGTCCCTTTTTGAAGGACTCTTGGAGGGTTTGCAAGCTAAAGGCATTAACAAGTTGTCTGTGGTACAACGGCTTAATTTGAATTAAACTACAGTCGCAGATGACAGAAGCCCTCCTTTCATCTTTTGTAGGGAGGCCTCCGAGCCCAGAGCGAGCGCCACGCTCCTTCTGGAACTAAACAGGTTGGCCCCGCCGTCTGTTGAGTCCTTCTCTTCACAACTCACACCTGGGTGGCCAAGGGTCACTCTTGACCTCGCGTTGGCGCCAGCGCCTCTGCCCTCTTCCCGTTGGGAAGGCGGCAGATGGCGAGAGCGCACCGCGCGGGTGCCGCAGCTCCCCTCCACAGCAGGGTCGGGCAGTTTCCACAAGGACCCGTTAGGCCTGAAACTCTCCCGTCCTCCTGCCGGGCACCGCGGGTCTTCCCCGGTCCTTCTCTCCAGCAGGACGCCTGGACCGTCCACCTAAGCCGGGCAAGACTCCCGCACCTCTGCCCCAACCAGACCCCAGAAAACCCTGTTCCCAGGGAGCGCGAGGCTGTGAGCCCAGAGAGCGCGAGGCTGTGAGCCCAGGGGGCGCCGCGCCACAGGATGCCGCTCTCCCTCTCATCTCCCGCTCCGCCTGGCCGCCGCCGCACTAGCCCAAACGCCGAGGCCGTGGCGGGGCCCGGGGTTCTTTCGCTGTGGCCAACTCGCCACCAATAGCAACCCTGGCTCCAAGGAATGCACCAATGGGAGCGCTCGGAGTAACGCGGCTCAACCAATCACCGCCCTCTCGGCTCTAGGACCCCACCAGCAGTGTCATCACTACTCCTGTAACTCCGCCAAACGGTAGTTCTAGCCACTGCCGTCCTTCCCTCAGAGTCTAGATATTAAATATACTTTCCCCAGAGTAGAATCCTGCGGAGTTGCAGCTTATGCTTGGCTCAGGAAGACATGCACACGCGCTCACCTCCGCTGCGTTCTTCTGCTTAAGCTCATCCCTCGATGCCCAGCCAAGCTTTTCAAAATTTAGTGAAAACAAACGAGAATTCTTTTTACCACGCAGTTGACCGCTACGAACCATTTGAACCGTTGTCTCAGCTTAAAATGGAAAGATGGCCTGAGAAGGAAGACTTCTGAAAGAAGTCTCTCCTTAGCAAAAGGATGGAAAGCCTTTATTTACTGAAGCTGATGCGAGTTGGGGGTTAGAAGTAAACCAAGGAGAGTGTTCTGCAAAAAGATGCTAGTGTTATACAAGGTTGTCAACCCTTATCTCCTTAGGTTGATATCTTCCAAATGAAAACACAAAGAGTTGCTAGAGTTTAGGGTTTTCAGAAATATATATATCGTTTGATAGCTCACTATGCGTCAGGTGTGATCTAAGCTGCTGGCCTGCGTTAACTCATTTGATGTTCACAACTATCCTATTGCTTATTTCGCCCTGTTTTACAAGTGAGGAAATTGAGGCAATAGAGAAAACGGCCCAAGATGCAAAGCTAGTAAGTGACAGAGGCAGGACTAGAACCCAGGTCTGTCTGAGGTATTTAGATTAACAAAACAGTTTAATGCCCAACCGAACTAGGTTCAAGCAATCTAGAGTCTTTCAGTTCTAAAGAAAATGAATACGCCTCCTATCTTTAAAAAAAAAAAAAAAAAAATTGGTACAAAATATTCAGTTAGAATCCCAGAAACCTCCAGTGGCGTTAGCATAACGCTCAAAGTTAGTTGTGGCCACCAAGATAAGAAGAGTTGAATGGTGGGTGACAGGGAGAAGAGAGAAGGGGATAGGAGACAGAAAGAAGTAATCTGAGAAACACTAATTCAACTGAGGCACTTAACACAAACAATACTATTGTTCCTGATTGTATATCGCTGATATGACTTTGTCATTAAAATGAATAATGGCATTACGTATGATAGTATGCACAGACATGAACAAATATATGAGTTATTTGAGGCAACCTATGGAGAATTACAGATGACTTTTGATTAAGAGACTCTTTGTTCAACTTTTTCGTATTGGAATCTATTTTAACAACGTCTAGAAGATACCAGTTCACAAAGGGGAAACAGAATATTGGGTCCTTTGTTTTATTAAATTCTAAATGTATATCCTTTAACCAAACTAATTTTATTTTTTGAGATGGGGTCTCACTATGTTGCCCAGGCTGGAGTGCAGTGGTTATTCACAGACATGATCATAGCACACCACAGCCTTGAATTCCTGGGCTTAAGCTAGCCTTCTGCCTCAGCCTCCTAAGTTGCTGAAACTACAGACATGAGCCACTGCCACCGGCTTATTTTCAATTTATTTTTATGAGCTATTTTCAGAAGTTACAGGAGTTGGTACTGAGCCAGAAAACGGGAGACGGGGGCAATACTGTTATAGCTGATAAAATGTTTCCCATTTTTCAAATCTGGGCAGCCTTTCTCACTTTCCTTGAGAACTCACATGCTCTGATTTCAGAAAAGCTTTTCCAATATTCTTCTATAGTGGTGGATTTGGTTTGAAGCAATAATTGCTTCAAAGTGCAGGACCACAATACTAAACAGACAGCAAGAAGCTCTGGGCTCTTGGAGCCGATTTAGCAGGCAGATGCTTGAATTCACTTCTAGTTCTGTGTGACGAACTGTGAACCTGGTGGGGCAAGTCAATGGTCCTCTTCTATGGAATGGAAAGAGCTGAAAGTAGCATATGAACCTGGCACAGTATAGGTCCTCAAAAAATGATGGTATCTTTGTCACCATATTTTCATGTTGATCTTTCTCTCTCTCTCTCTCTCTATCTCTCTCTCTCTCTCTCTCTCTCTGTTAGCTTTCTTTTACACAGCAAAACATTTTCTGGTCAGCTGCCATTAAAAACCTATAATTCCTAGCATACATTTTCTCATAGAAGAAATCTTGCAGATCACCACCAACAGAAATCGAATGCCCTCCCCTACCCATGCCCCCCTGCTGTGATGTGCCAGAACATGTTCCTGCCAGCCACCAGGCGAAGCGACTAAGGCAGTGTTGCCAACAGGAAGACAAGGTGAAGACTTGCAAATCATTCAGGATTCAGAAAATAAAGGGCATTTTTAACTGAGTTAAATTATCAGTGCCACATCCAGACCCTTGGGTGACTCACCAGAATCTTCAAACTGATCTCTGAAAAAGTGCTGTGGACATGGGCCCTTCAGGTACCTGCCCTTAGCTAAGGGGTTAACTGAGCCTCCACTTTCCACAGTGAAATCCTCCCCAGAGTGTATATGGGGATGAAGATGGGTGCTTTCCAATTTTAGTCAACAAAATTATATTCTTTATGATATCTGCCCATTAGCTAGCATTTTTTAAAAACCAGTAAATATAGTCATTGCTTCTAATTTTGCTGTTCTAATTATGGGCATCCCCGTGACCTTAAAAAATATGCTTTCTTTTCTGTAAGATAGGACCAATACTGACAGCAGAAGACCACTGGAAGAAGGACATGGGAAAAAGAAACTTATGAGTAAAGTAAATAGATCAGCACTTCCAACAAAACAGACCCTCCTTTAGTATTTGTTGAATTAATAAAATATATGACTCATAAAAGACACTGAGCAAGTTTCCTTTTTTGCTTCCCAAGGAAAGTTCTGTCAAAATGGAACATAACAAGAAATAGTGATTCTACTGTTCCATACTTTAACAATATGTGGGGTTTTTCTTCTTGAAGGTCATGAACTTCTTTCAGTAAACATGAAAACATTTAGCATGATTAACAATGGTTTTAGGAAACAATTCTTTTGCCTGATGTTTGGGAGCCTGTAAAATGCACATATTGAAAATGGCATACTTCCCTCTTATAATACAACACTGCTTAACATTATTTTATGAATAGTCAAAGTATTCAAGTCTCCAATGATTTATTTTATTATGCAGTCTCCTCGCAAATTGTTTTCAAATTAAACTACTTGTTTAAAATATCTGCTGAAATCACTAAGTGAACAAACTCTCGTTTGTATCTTTATTTTTCTTAAAGATTGCACAAGCTGGAACCAAAACCAAAATGCTATATCCACTGTACAGCAGTCATTATAAAACAACACACACCACATTTGTATTCTACCAAATAGAATATTTTCTTTAAAATTATATATTGCGTGCTCTTAGATTCATGCTTTAGATATTTTACATTTATCATTATTCTCTCATAAATAATTGCAACTTGACCAATTTGTACACCTGCTACCACTATATTCAATAGGGCAAGGCGTAGTCTTTGACATGAGAACAGATAAAATGGAAATCAGTATATGGATGTCACATCTACCCAATTGTGACTAGTGTTTTGCCTAAGAAATGAAATGCTAATGTAAAATACACACACAAAACGTCGTTTCAAAAGGCACAATTTCCTTCACAGAAAAGTACAACTTAAGAATACGTGGCAGTTAAAATGTGCGCCCTCGAGGGCGCTGTGACGTTCGCATTGATGTGATCCTGAACACCAAGAGCAGACCGTCTGGGCGGTTCAGGGTGAGCTCATCCAAGAAGTCCAGAGGCCCGGGGTACGGAGGTCCTGGTCGCCCTCGAGCTGTCCAGGTGGCCGGATTTATGCCACCTCTGAACTGTTGCTCTGAGTTTCAGCACCAGATCTGGGACCTCTCACTGTTCCATATCTGGCGCCCTCTCAAAAACAAAAACGGTTTTGTCCATTGGGTCCCTCTTTCCACCACCAGGAGTTCCTCTTCTGCGAGAATAGACCCTCGATTCCTCTGTCCTCGCCCCGCCCCTTCCCGGGAAGAGTTATTACAAGTCGCGCTCGCCGCCGCCCGCAGCCTCGGGGTCGCTCTGGTCGTCTGTGAAGCAGACGTCCACGTCACTGTCGTCGCTCTTGGGATCCCCAGGTTCCGGGGGATAGCCGGGCTCGGCACCCGGGCCGTCGCCCGCTTTGGCGAGCAGACTCTGGCCAGGGTGGCGGGACTTGACATGTCGCTCCAGGTCCCGGCGGCGCACAAGTACCTTGCCGCAGAACTCGCAGCGGTAGGGCGTGTTGCCCTCGGCGTGCAGCCGGATGTGCTTGTTGAGATTGCTGGGGTCGCCGAAGGGCCGCAGACAGACTTTGCACTTGAGTGGCTTGTAGCCCGTGTGCGTCCGCATGTGGATCTTGAGCCCATATTTGCGCGAGTACAGCTTGCCGCAGTAGAGGCACAGGTGGCCGGTCTTGGGCTTACCTGCGCCGCTGCCTCCGCTGCCGCCGCCCCCTGTGCCTCCCGCCGCCGCGACGGCCGGTGGCAACGTCCCCGAGTCCAGGCGTCCGCGACCCTTCCCGGCAGCCATCTCGGACAGCTGCTGATTGTGCATGGCGATTTCTCGGTCGATGCTGGCCAGCGAGCCCAGCTCAGCGGGGCTTAGGGCGGCCGCTGCTGGCCCGCTGAAGTAGGAGATGGACTCCGGATACTTCAGCAGCCCGCCGAAGTGCAATTTGAGCGGGTAATAAGCGGTAGTGGCCGGTGAGCCGTAGAGCAGCTCCCCGTTGTAGACTGTAAAGGCCGGCATGACGGCAGGCAGGTGACTACATTCACCACCTGGATAGGCTTTGAGACCGCCCGTGTCGAGGGGCGGCAGCGCGCAGCGCTCGAGGGGCAGCCCGGGCGCGGGGGGCAGCTGCGCGTAACGCGCTCCTGGCAGTGCGGCGGAGGCGGGCGGGGCGCGCTCCACGTGCTTGAAGGCGGACGCCTCTTCCGGGGGGACCGAGAGCAGAGGGAAGCCGCGCAGGGCCCCAGAGCACGGCAGACCATGGGGCGGTGGCGGCGGCGGGTCCCCCGCGAGCAGGCACTTCGGATGGTGGTGGTGATGGTGCGCGTGGTGGTGATGGTGGTGACCCGCGCCGCCCGCCGCCGAGTTCTCCCCGCTGCCGGGGCGCCCGCACGCCCGGCCGCCGCCCAGCAGCCTGCCCAAGGTGAGGCCGACCCCCTGCTTGCTGCCGCTCTCCTCCCGGTAGGGGTCGCCGTGGGCGGCCGCCGCCGCCCTGGCTAGGCCGGCTGGCTTGAAAGCGGAGCGCACGCCGGGGTAGAAGGCCAGGCTGCCGACCCCCGCCGAGGAGCCGCCCACGATGCCGAGGAAGTGCCCTTGTCCTCGGGCGGCCCCGCTCATGTCCAAGGCACGGTCCAGCTGCTCCTTGCCTTTCTTGAGCTGCCCCCACTTGCCTGGGGTCGGCGAGGTGGCCGAGGGCGCGGAAGAGGCCTCGCGCTTGATGCCCTCCCGCGCACCGCAGGCCTGAGCTGGTGGCGGGCCCTGTGGGTGGGGTCGCAAAGTTCCTGCCTGGGAAGGCGCGGCGAAATCGGACGCGGAGGGTTTCGGGGAGAGACTGAGGCCATCAGCCGCTGGGACGGCGCCTTGGCGAGCCGCGTGTTCGTGGTGCAGGAAGGCGCCGCCTCCACCGCCGCTGAACACGCAGTGGAAACGCAGGTGTGCCTTAAGGCTGTTGGGGTATCTAAACGTCCTCCAGCAGTACCAGCAGATGTAGCGCTCCTCCCCTGGGCAAGAAAGAATGGAAAAGCGACCCGGTGAGAGGCGAACAAGCGAGACAGAAAGAAAGCGCCAGTGCACCCAAGGCAAAGGCCAAGTTTCGACCAGCGGGGGAGAGGGCGAAATATAAGTTCGGTAGCCCTACGGTATCAAGGAGCCCGAAAAACCCCAAATGGCCAATCCTTATCAGTGTCTCCATCCTCTGGGACTACTTAGAGGCCAAAAAAGGTGACGGGACCTTTCCAACGAAGACTTCCTCCAGGCCTTCCAAGCAAAATCTTCGTTGGAAGGGCAGCACTCAGGCAGGCTGGCCGGGTAAGAGCAAAGAGCAGCTGTTGCTTTAAATCAAGTGTTGAGGCTGTGCAGTGTCTGGGCCCATCTGTTGGCGTTTGCAGAATAGGTAGCGTATGTCAAGGAGTTTGGATAAACTGAACAAAGACCAATCTAATGGTCGTGAGCGCCTCATTACCAGGCGAGACAATATCCTGTATGTATAGGCCATATGTAATCATTCCTTTTCATAGAACAATGTCTTTTGTGTCCCCTACCCACCCATTCCACCCCCTTCCAGCCTTAAACACTTTGCCTGAGGTTTTCCTGGAGCGTGACCAACTGAAGGACCACATAGGGACTATGATTTGCCATTCTTCAAAATTATTTGTATCTTTATTTCCTCTTTAACCCCATTTAATTTGCTGGGAGAAAAGAAAAAATCTTATGCCATGATACTCTATAAAGAATGATGATAATCTAAGAAGGATGATGTTGCATTGTCTTGTCTGCCACTTGGTAATTAATTAACTCCTAGATAGCTGCACAAATCCAAGCTTAGTAAAGTCTTTGGAGAAAATATATTAGTTTTTTATTATATGAATATATATAAATGATATAGATCGATAAATAAATATAGATACTCAGCTTTTAATAAGTGCAGAATTCTCTACCAGGCACTACATATGTGTTTGGTGTCAAATCTTTTTTTGTGTTTAGTATTATTAGCATTAGTTTTTTCATTTCGCCCGAGTTTGTGAACACAACCAAGAGACACATATATGATCACATACTAGAAGTTAATTTCCACTTAAAAGGGTCGTATTACTGCTGTAGAGAGAAATGATCTTGCAGTTGGGTTTCTTTTAAAACGTGGTTGATTGATAATACTGAAGGGAAAGATGTCTGTGAGAAAGAAGTTAGTTGAACCGCAAGGAAATATCCAAAATATAAATCAGTCTCATAAAATTTAACAGGAAAGTTAAATTCCCCCTCTGCATATACAAGCAGCTCAAACTTCTGAAATATTACTACAGAAATAACAATAGGGAAAAATTCCAGATCTTCTTCCCTTTATGTATATTAACTTCTGGGTTTGCATAACACAAGTAGCTCCCACCCCCACCCCTGTGAAACACCTGTGAAAACTCAAGTGATAAGCACTATATTCCAAGGAGAGCAGAAAGAAAAATGGGAGAGTAGTATTTCCCTATGAGACCCTATCCTAATTGTTTATAGAAGTCTTAGATAAAACCATTTCAATGTTCTGTTACTTTGTACTGAACATTCATGTAAAAGAAATCTTGAAAAAAAGAAAGAATAGACCTCCTGGGTTCTCTTGGTGGGTGTGTTGTCTTAAATAACCTTCCTTCTAACTTCAGAGCCTTTCTGTCTCTCATCACCCCTTTTGAAAGAGGGAGTTTTCCGAGTCTGCCGCAGAATGACTCAGCTTAATGCAAAGCCACATACACTTTTTTTCTTAACATGAAGGGGCAGTATTTTCCTCCACCTTACTACGAAATTGAAACCCACTGAAGTTAGCTAGAATTAGGAGAATAGCAGCCATCCATATTTATTTCTTCCTCTTTCCAAGCTTTAAGCAGCATACATTTGATATATACTTTTTTTCAGTTATCCTAACCAACTGACATGTTCTCCAGACTCTCAGATCCAAATCATGCCAAGAGTACCAAACACATTTAACAAGTGACTGCCTCCTCTTCATGTAACTCTAAGGTAGTAAAGAGTTCAGACTTCTCCAAGCTGGGGAAGTCAGGGTTCAAAATCACCCATGCCTTCTCACCTCCAGAAAAAAAAAAAAAAAGGTGTTTATTTTGACATCTGTTACCATATGATGTTTATAAGCTCAATTGGCTGAAAGGAAAACACAAGGACCACTATTCCAGTTGCTTTTGTACTATTTGGAACTACCTAAGAAAGGGTGTTCTGTGTAGAAATAGCTGGCTCCTCAAGGTTAGTGGTCCTCCAAATTCTGTAGTGGCAGATTCGAGAGTTCTCCACTATGCGGCTTTTATTATACGTCTCTTTTTACTGGAAGAAGTTGACAAGAGAATGTAATATAATGTGATGCAAGGAACAAACTATCTTAGGATAATTTGAATACTATACATGCAAAATAAACAATTAACTTGCAGGAGACGATGATACTTTAAAGTAAAGTGACTCATTGTTTTGAATAAACTTCATTCTGTCTTATTCATGAAGTGTTTCCTAATTCACATACTTGTATTAATTTCTCTAAACCTGTTTCTAAAGGGATGTGATTGAGCAGGCAATCCAGGAAGACAGCATGTTCGAATATTTCACAGCATTCATTATTTTGATGTTAAATAATAAATGTGTCTTTAGGAGAAATTACAGACCATTGTCATGGAAAAAAAGCCATGGTAGCTTTGTATGTGAAAAGGAAGTCTCCAAGACCTTAACTATTCTAGCACCTCCTAGACTTCTTTCCACAGGAAGTGTTCTTCAGTGTTCAAGGGTAGGTTTAAAAATGTTTTTCTGTTTAGTTACTGCACCTTAATTTGCATAAATCCGCTCTTGGCTTTGAAGGGATCAAATAAATCTGAGAAGAAACTGGGATACATCCCAGATTCAATTTAAGTAGGCAAAGGGAAATGAATAAATGCCACTTAAATGGAAGGGTCTCAGTACCTGCCAACTGACCTGCTGTAAGTACCGTAATACTTCTAAAATGCTGTAGAAATGCACTGTTCTCCTGGAAAGCCAGTGGAGAAGAAATGTCCTTGGACTTTGTAAAAGCATTCCAGGTTTGAGTTATATTCTGTGGAACTCAGGATGTAATTGCTGTAACAACAATTTAAGGCTCCTTTTTTATTATTTATTTATTTATTTATTTATTTATTTATTTTTTGAGACAGGGTCTCACTTGTCACCCAGGGTGGCATGCAGTGGTAACATTACAGCTCATTGGAGCCTTGACCTCCTGGGCTCAAGTGATCCTCTTTTCTCAGCATCCTGAGTAGCTAAGACTACAGGCGTGTACCACCACACCTAGCTAATTATTTTTTTGGTGTAGAGACAGAGGTCTCACTATGTTGCCCAGGCTGGTCTCAAGCTCCTAGCCTCAAGTGATCCTCCTACCTCAGCCTCCCAAAGTCTAGGATTACAGGCATGAACTACTGCACCTAATTTTTTTATCTTAATTGAGTAAATAATGGTCTCTTTGAATAGGCACCAGAAAAAGGATGGCCCCATTAAGTTCATAATGCATACTTTTTCCCCTGCCATTGTGAGCCAGATTACTATCACTGTTATCGTTTATGGTTGATTTTAAGGAGGTAGTGGCGACCTCTCCTCTTTGCCTTGAAATACAGGGAATGTGAATTCCATTTTACACTGGTCGAGCTATGTCTAGTGACTCGCTTCAAGACAGGAGGAGGAGGGCTGGACTCTTGCCCATCCACGCTTTTGGAGTGGGTACCTTTCTCATCGTGAGTCGGAGTCGCCGTGGTGGGGATGTCGAACCACTGAGCCAAGGAGTTAGAGTACCACACTGTCAGCTCCTCCCCTGGCTGGACGTCTCGCAATGCTCGGTAGAAGATCTGGGACGCAAGGAATGGAACAGTTCTCTGTCATTTCCTGGGTAATTGGTCAAAAAGCAACTGAGAAGAAAGGTTCAAATCCCGATTCTGATGCTGTGTGACCCTGGAGAAGCTACTGGAGCTCTCTGAACTTCACTTCCCTCACCCTTCAAATGGAAAAACAATAGTATCTACCTTATAGGGTTGTCAAGACATTTAAATGAGACGTCTAGCTAAAACACTTTGCTCTTAATATTGTTGGCCACCGCAGGGATGGTTAGGTAGATTGAATTGGTGGTGGGGACTAGGGGATGTGGAGAGAAGCCCGCAGTACCTGTCCTCCGGGTAAGTCTGCAATAGCTTCCAGAGTCTGTTCCTGGGAGTTTCTGGCTGCCCGGATTAACCCTATCCACTCCAGAGGGGAGCCCCCCGACTCGTCCACCAGCTCCCCTCTCACCATGCGCACCTGTAACACAAGCAGTGGTCGTTCTCCCCGCACCTTGGCCAGGCCCACAACCCAGACAGAAAGTTTATCCTCCACCCCCACCCAACACAGGAAAGTGGTTGTTTTTGGTTTGGCCAGACCACTAGGGGCTACTGGAAGGAGAAGAATTCCTTAGGACCTTGCTTGGGGGAGGGAGAAAGAGGAAAGTCTACCTATGCTAACAGTACCACCACTTTCCTGCGCCCCACCTTGGCAACACGGGGAGGGGGGAGGGATGTTGAGAACATCCTCCCTTAGTGCTTAAGCACATCTTGTACCAAGTTGTTTCCCACACACTACCCCAGCTCTCCCACTGGCAGTTCTGAGAGCAGCCCTAACACCAGGTTAGAGACGTTTCTAGGTCAGTCCCAGGACCCAGAGCGTCCCCCTACAAACAAACAAACAAAAAAATTATCTCATGCCTCCTCTATTCTGTGTGCATCGCACCTAGGTGCCTGTGAGCCTTGCAGCGAAAGTCTCAGAACAAAGCCCAAGCGGGGAAAAGCTTGCCCGCAGCTGGCAGGCCATTTAAAAGCAATTAAAAAGCGTTTAAAGAGGAATGCGCGGTGGGCACCAAACCCTGCTTTAGACTATAGTGGGGCGGAGGGGGGGGCGTGATTGCAGGAGGAGCGAGGTACAAGTCCCGCTGGCTGGACACCGGAGCTTTTTCTTACTAGAAATCTCCAAGCAAAGCAAGCTATAAAGCCAAGGAAGCCAAAGCCCTTCCTTCTACCCCTGACTTCTGCCTTCATTTCCTGGTCGCTGTTTGCCGACCTTTGGCTCCTGGGACACCCCCAAAGCGGGCGAGTGCTTTAAGTCTTCCTGGTCAGGGGTCGCAACGGTGTGTGGGGTGTGGGAGTCAAAGCTAGTGGTTTGGCCCTGGCGCCTGCCGGTTGGGACTCTGAACTCTCAGAGCCCCGCTGTAGGCGTTCTGATCCTGTGCCCCGCGCGGATGGGCGCCCCTCGCCCTTGGAGCCCGCGTCAGAGCCAGCACCTTGCTCATCCTCTCTCCATATGCCCCAAACCCACAAGCCGACATCGGCAAGGGAAAAAAATACATATCTGAGGAGATTCTGGGAACTGAGAGCCTCCCAAAGATTTTTTTTGTTTAGGGAAAAAAAAAGTAAATTATTTTAAGGCGAAATTAGGCCTCAAATTAACATATTGAAGGGCAGAAGGGAAGAAAGGTTCTCGATGCCCTACGCCCCCAGAAAGAGGGTGCTTTTGCAGAGAGAGCTGAGGTCAGGGTGCGGGGGTGGGCTTCTGGGTTCTGAGGAGACCCGAGAGCGCGGGGGAAAACACAAGCCGCGAATGGTCCCGGCACCTACAGCCCTCAATGCACCCCACCCAGGGCTGTCCCCTCTCGGCCACATCCTCTGCTCTCAACCCGACCCGTCCAGCTCTCACAGTTAAAGAGGCTACTTGCTCAGAATAACAGGAGTCCCCTTCCACCCGGCAGAATTAGCAGGTAACGACTCAATCACTCTCTTCCTCCACTTTCTCTCTCTAGCCCTTTCCCGGGTCAGGGCACTGAGAGGCGAACAGCAGTGGGCGGAGGTCTGAATGGTCAATACCTTTTTCTTGGGCCCGGGCTCCCTGCGGTCTGACAGGTACTTGCCCAGCTTGAAGGTACCAGGCACCGGTCCGAGGCGCAAGCCGGCCGGGATGCAGCAGTCGGCACTCACGCTGGTGGCTGGAGCTCTGGCGGCTCCGTGCATTGTTGCCGCCGCCCCCAGGCAGGCGCTCGGGTGCGCCAGGTCCTCGGAAGGGCGCGAGTGACAGAGCTGGAGCTGCGCGCTAGCCAGGGAGCCGCGCCCCGACGTGCGTCCTCCGCCCGCGGAGTGACGCGGGCGGGCATGCACTGCGCCTTTTCAACTGGGGCGGGAGCCTTTTGGCACCGCCAGCGCAAGGGCGCGTAGTTTGGTGAGAGAGTTGCGCTGCGAAGCAGCTGCAGAGTCCTACCCGAGAGGGTCACATGGAGTGGTTCCCTCAGCCCCCTGCATAATCGAGGCCTCTGAATGGCTAGCACACAATGGTCCAGGCGACCTTCCCATTCCTAAAAATCCAATTTGTCAAGGGCGAAGAAAAGGCACTGGTGAATCAAAGGTCCGGCGGGACCATTAATCCTCAGCATGGGGTATTGTCCTCGAGACAGTTACGATATTTTAAGTGACAAATCCACTGTATAATTTCTCCATAAATTTTACTTCCTTTTATTGTTCCCCGACAAACCAGTTTTGGGAAATAAGTGACTACTTTAAGTCTACTTGGCTGATTCCTTTGAGCCTTGGTCTACTTCAAAGATTTTTAATTCTCTCCCCTTGGCTTTATTGTAAAGGAGATTAAACAAAGAGATGGAGACTGTTTGGAGGACTTGTTAACTTCTATTGATTTCTGGCGTGTGCCATACAGAAATTAGGCAGGTACTTGATGGGAAAACACCAGAAAATACCTACACTTTTTAAATAACGACCATTTTACCATTTCAGGGGATTGGGTTCAGGCCAGTCGTCTATTTAGAACTGCTTTAATTGTCACTTCTGTCCCATTTCGTCCCAAAATATGATGAAGCCTCCAGATCAAGTTGAGAAGGCGAGGTCAACTGTGCATCACTTTTCTCGGGCACACCCCGGGCCTGCACTTTCTCTGGAGAATGGGAAACGACCCCAGAACCAACAGTTTCGACCGGGGATCCTGCTCCCCCCGCCCGTCCGCGGCCCAGGGTTGAAGAGGAAGAAGTTCTAACAGTGGGTTATTGGTCATGTCCCCTGGAAGAGGTCCTTGGACTAACTCCCCTAAAACCAACAACCTGGACTTTTCTATTAAAAAATAATAATAAAATAAACAAAAACGAAATCACCGCAATCTGCTAAAGGTTGTAGAGAAGGGGGGCGAGGTGGGCGTTTGGGACAACTCTTTCTTACACCTACTTTGTGAACTAACAAGACGTTGTACTTCAGAGTTAAACCGGAGAGCTCCCCGTTTTCTTTTAGGGAAGCCTCCAATTAGCGTGCGGACATTTATTTTCATAAATAGTAGCCGAGTAATCAAATTCATCAGATATTTGTGACTCCTGCCGGCACCTGCCGCGTGCTGCTAGCTCTGGGCACAGCTCCCCCAATCCTATGCAGCCAGCACCGAGCCCGATGCAGTTCTTCCAAGAGAGGCCTGAGTGGTGGTGTATTTCCAAGCCTAGCGCCAGAGGCCCAGCCACTGCACAAAAGGGCGGAGGGCCCTCAGCAGCGCCCACGCTGCTAGCTTCTCCAGGCTTTGTGGGCTGAAGGTGCTGAAGCGATTGTGGTTAGCAAGGGTGGCAGGACGCAAGGTGGCGACACCTGCAACTCAGCAGTTTATCTGAGGAGGTCTTCAGAGAAGCTCCGTGTAGTGCCCTCAGTCGAAACCTATGTTCGCCACACTGGGCAGGTCCAGGACACTCAGGATCATTCATTCTGTGCTCTCCCACTCAAGACTCGGGGAACCTTTAGTGGATTGCTTCGGAGGTTCGGCCTCCTAGTCTGTAAAATGGGAATGATGGATACAAACAGACCCTTTGCTCCCTCTCTGCGGTTCACTTTCATTTGTAACGACAATCTGTAGAGTGAGTGCATTCTGGAAGCTCCAAAACTGGTTGTTTGCCTAATGGGAGAATCCAGGTCAGGCCAAAGGTTTCAAGTCTAACGTCTCACGTCAGACCCTGAGAGGACACACGGATGGCTGGCCTCGGGCCAACTCCAGGGCCTGTGTATACATGGCTGCTGAGGCAGAGAAGAGTCGCTTGGAAAGTCTGGAGGGCCACACACTGTGGCCTCTGGGACCGTGCAGCCACACTATGCCCAGGTCACTTTCTGAGGGAGCTGCCACTGATTTTTCCTCGGAAGCCTCCAATTGCGCCTCTGAGGGCTGCGAAGACTGCCCTCGACAGAGAAGAGGGAGCCTTTGATCCAGCGGCCCATGAATGGCAAAAGCCCGGGGGGAGGGAAGGAGGAGAGGAAGCCTCTCCGAAGAGTCAGGGCAATAAATTTAAGCCATGAACATGTCCCTCTAACCTCTGGCCTGGCGACTCCGGGATGACACCCAGTTTAAATTACCAGCACTGCAAACGGGAAGGGGCGAGCGCTGGGCCTGGGTTCGGGGCGCCTCCCCGGCCCTCCTTAATGAGTGAAAAAGCGTGAACGACACGCGAACAATTTTATCAATAGGACCATGTAAAGGCCGACTGTGAGGAAAGTTATTTATTAATATAGCCAATTGTGACTGGTTCCCAGCCCCGCGAGAAGAAAGAGACTGCGCCAGAGGCATTCACACCAGCTCGCCGAGTTTTATTCTGTCCTGTGGCTCAGAGTTGAAGTTCCCCAAGTGAAATAAATTGTCCACAAAGGAGAAAAGGAACACATTTTCTTTTATTTTTCCTCCCCTAAAAAGCAAGGGTGAAACCAATCTAATGTGCCCAGTGGAGCAAGATGGGCCGTGAAAGGCTGGGTGTTAAAAGTAAAAGCGGGCTGTGCAGCAAATGGGATGGAAAATTAAATGAAATTAAATAGCTTGAACGGCCGTATTGTCCCTTATTAAAAAGACACATTAATTACATGGTCTCAGCCTTATTCAAAGACAATGTTGAGACTCAATCAAAACATTCCACTCGGCTTTTTTTTTTTTTCTTATCGACTTGAAATGGGCGTCCAGAGGCCCCGTTAAAGCGAAATCTCTCCTACACCGAGGTGCGGGGAAAGGCGGTTTAGGGGCGGTCCTGCTCCCTGCCCACTGTGGAAACCGCTCGGGCAAGGCTCCCGCTCCGGTAACAGGTTGCCATAACAAGGCTGGAATGCTCACCAGCAGCCGCAGGCCCTCCGAGGGGCAGGCTGCGGAGAGCTAAGTCCCACCCGCGCGCGGCTTTCGGACCCGGCAGTGATAGCGGACGGCCCCGCCCGGTGCATAGTCGCGAATGAGCGAAGAGCTGGGAATGCGGCCGGCGCCGAGCACGTGTGACCTGACTGGACTCCGCCTAGAGGAAAGGAGCGCCTTAAGACTTTGGCGCTGAGACAAGTGGCTTCTTTCAGACCACACTTCTCCTGCGCTGCTCGTCACCGTTTCTCAAAGGCTTCGAGTTTCAGGTCCCCACGGGGACCGAGTGAGCTGTCCTGAGGGGTGGCGGGGGTGGAGAGGGCTGAGTCTTGGAGACCCTGGTGCTGGTGACTCACCAAACACCCCTCCCTCCCAGGTCGGCGCGGAATCCCGAAACTGAGCCCGGAGGAGTCCTGAACCCGGGGATGCAGAGAGCCGCTCGGGGTCAGCGACCCGAGACGAAGGAGGTTGGGGAAAGCAGAGAGAGGCCTGCAAGCCCCGCTTTCAGTAGCCGAATGTTGGCCGGAGGTGGCCTAGGCTGCACCCCCCGAGGGTGTCCGCGCGGGCCGGGCGGGCGGGTCAGCTCGGACCAGCTGCGCGGCCCCCGAGGCGCGGGTGGGACATTAAGGCCGGGTCTGAATAGGGCGGCGGCGATGGGCTCTGGGAACGCCACCAGATGACACGCCGGCGATGAGGCCATTTTCCCCTTAATTGCGTGGCCGGTGGATGCGCGGCTGCCGGGAGTCTCCAAAGTGGCAGCCAGGACGCAGCCCGGACGCCGCTGGTGGGTTTTGTGGTGCCTTTTTTGTTGTTTTTTAAGTCCTCCGTTGGAAACGGCTCAATAAAAGTATTCAGAATCCCTCTCAAGTTGCCTTTTAACCGGAGTTCTCCAACTTATTTCTTGGTTCTTTCGGTTGACATGGTGCAAAGAAAAGTCAGCGAGCGTGTTGCTGAATTGCAATGTCTCGGGGCACCTCCACATTCAGCGCTTCTCTGCCGGCCGCTGCCGAATGAGCCCGCACTCAATTCGATTTTCCTTGCTGTTGGGCACATTTAGGAGCGCCTCTATTTGTGAAGTTCATTTCTAGGCAAATGTATTCAAGAGCTGATGGGAATGAATAGGACCGTGTGTCAGCCGCCCCTAATTGGGATTAAAGCACTTAGGAGCATATGCAGAGAGTGACAGAAATTCTCAGGTTGCATTGTGTTCAGACTTCCACCCGCTCGGACGCTCCTCCTCCAGGGGAGATTTATAGAGATTTCTCGGAGAAACTGAGGAAAGAAAAGCGAAAAGGGAAACAACCGGGCTAATGGCTCACGATGGGGCTGCGGTTCCGCAAGTGGTGGTGACAGCTTCTGAGAAAAGATGCTGGGGAATAATTGAACGCGGGCGGGGGAGCAGGTCTGAACTCTTTAATCAGAAAGGCGGAGAGTTAAAAGGCGAAATAAAGATGTTCTGGAGATTCCCAGACGGTGTTTCCCCCTTTTCTTCTTCTTCTTTTTTTTTTTTTCTTTTCCTTGAAGAGCCGGGATACATTTCTTTTTATCTCTACCCTCCCACACCCACCCTAAATAACATACCCTCTCTTGGAGCAATAATAAGAACAATTTGGTACTCGAATTAGAGAGGGGAAAAGTCACAAAAGAAACAAAAATATCTCTCTTTGTATGTTGAAGACTTCACACCCAAATAAATCAATGAAAGTATTTTGACATATGAATGTGTGTGTAAAGTATACACATGCTATGTTAAACACGATCATAATATGTATTTATATAATTAAGGCTGTGTGTAGATATATAGTGTGGTAAATCTCCACCTGGAAGTAGCTGCTAGGTTTCTGAGCTGAATTGACAAAGCTTCCCCCAACTTCCTGCTCTGTCACCCAAGCTGGAGGGCAGTGGAGTAATCATGGCTTACATGGCTCAGTGGTCCATCATGGTTCACTGCAGCCTTGATCACCTGGGCTGAAGCGATCTTCCCATCTCAGCTTCCAGAGTAGCTGAGGCTACAGGTGTGAGCCATGACACTTGGCTATTTTATTATTATTATTTATGTTTTGGAGATTCCAACCAGGCTGGTATGGAACTTCTGGGCTCAAGTCAGCTTTCCAAAGTGCTAGGATTACAGGCGTAA